ATAATTAAATAATTAAAATTTATTATACCAAATAATTTATTATATTATTCTGAATAATTCGATTTAGTAATAACAAATTTTCTTATAATAAAAGCCTAATTGGCTAAATCACTAACTCTATTTTAAAGTGAGTAGACTGTATTTACTAGTAAGTCAATTATGCTTTGTATTTGTAGTAATAATTTTATTTTGAGTAGTTACTAATATAACATCTAATAAAAACATATTTTTTGTTTATTATTTAAATTTTAAAATTTTTAATAAGTTATTAAAGCATTATTATAAAGTATTAAATTTTGAAGACAATTTTCTTATAATGCATCTCTATTTGTAATTTTTTAATTAATACTTTATCATCTTTTTTATTTAATACTGTCACATGATATAATACATCTAACGCTTTATTTATTATTTGTGTATCTAACCATCCAGATCTTACTTATTAATTTTTTAAAAAAAATAAATAATTAGACTATTACTTTTATTTTCAAACTTTCAATTTATCTCAGATTAAAACCTTTAGATTTTCAATTAAAAGTATTTTAGAATTTTTCATGATATGTCTAGAATAATGAAGGATTGTTATCTATGATTTTGAAAATGATTTTATAAAATAAATTTAATAGTTTCAAATTAATTTTAATAAAGTAAGAAAGATTGCATAATATTTGAATATTTTCATCTTCATTAACAAAAGTTAATAAATGTAAATACAGTATATAATATAATCAATATTTGCTTATTTAGCCACATTTATATATCTATTATGAGCAATAAAGGAAGTAAGTTAATTAATTTGTGATTTTCTTTTACAATCCACATTAATTTTATTGAAAAAATCTTAGCTTTATATGAAAACGAAAGCACTATTTCATATGATTTCACTGATAATAGATTAATCAATAACAATAATTTTACTGCTTATTTTAAAATATATATGATAGAATCAGGTTAATTTACTGAATCAACTTTAATGATTAAAACTTCTCTTTTTTTAATATAGTTGATTATATTATTTCATAATAAATTTCTGTGTATACTGGATCTTATAAAAAAAGAAGGTATTTTATTAGTTTTTTTTTAAAATAAATTAAAAACAATTAGACATTACTTCTATTTCTCTATAAAAATATATTTTTGATACCTCTAAATAAATTTCAGTCAACTGTTCCTTTGTCATTTATAATTTTTATTATATTTAAGCAAATTTTATCGGTTAAATAATAAAAAATATAAAATTAAATATTAAATAATTAAAATAAAAAAATATAAAAATAAATTGGTTATCATAGCTTAATTTTTTACTAAAATTTATCTATTCCAAAATTTATCCATAAATAATAAAATAAAACTAAAGTTTTTTTCCTTTATATTATAAAGAAAAATGCAAATCTTTATTATTTCAGATGTCGATTATTTTAATATCAACTCCTTATTATTTTTAGATGCTGATTTTTTTAGTGTAACATTACCTTGCATTAGCTTAAATCCACTTTATCTTGATTTTTTATTATATAAATCAATTTCCATTTATAATTAAAAAATATAACATATACTAAAAATTATTTGAATTTGATTGAAACCCATTTTTTATTTCTAAGGTAGTTTCCTTTCTTTTTACTGCAAATCATCAATATAAATTTTTTAAACTAATATTATATATATCTTAACTATTTCTAATTAGACTTATATAACAACTTCTTTTACCTATTTTAATAATATTAGTCTAATAAATACTTAAATAATTCAAATTAATTGTAAATCAGATGATTATATTAACTATGAATCTAATTATAAGTCAGATATTATAGAAATATAAAATAATTTAGCTATCACTATCAAGTCTTTATCAATTCAATCACTAAGTATAAATAAATAAAAGTCTAATATGACATATTATTTAAAGTAAATAAGTTCAATAGTGATTTATTTTTAAAAACTTATTAAATAGAATTTAAATTTTTTTTTTATTATTACCTAATTATATATTAGATAATAAAGGCTTATTAGATTGTTTTCCAATTTATTAATTTCTTTTTCTAAACATAAAAGGTTCTAATTTGTTTAATACCTATGATCAGAATGAAATGAAAAATAAGTTAGTTATTAAAATCAATTAAGTCAATTAAGTCACTGATCAGATAAGAATACTATAATAAACTTAATATGTGATATTATTTTCTGCAATCAGAATACTGAATGCTAATGTTCATTTAAGTCCAATTCATCTAATTATAGCTTATCTGATTCTAAAATAGAAGTATATATCTAATATAATTATTTCAAAAAGAAATCAAAAAGAAGACTTATCTTGTAAAGAAATCTAAGCTTTATTTAATGAAAATAATAAGAAAAAAGCTCAATAATAAGATAAAAAACATAATGATAGGTGAAAAAAAGAAGAGTTAATAAATACTTTAAACAAGAGTAATTATAAAGTTTCAGGGATTTAACATAGATGTCTTCCAAAGTTACTTCAAATTTTTTTTGATTGAATATGTGGGATATATATGTAATATAGCAGGGTGAATATACTTATTATATCAATGTGTCAATCATTTTGCCCATTTTGCCGATCATATTTTGTATTATTACATCGGCATTTGCAAATTTCGATGCTTTGGATTTCTCTAAAAATATTCAAATTCATATTAACTATTATATTTAATAGTTTATATTAACAAGAGTTTAGTATAAATGTTATATAATATTAGAATATAAAATATAAAAGTTAGTATTATGTCAAAATTTTCAATAATTTAATTAGTGTTGATCATGTTGATCCTTAAGCTAATCGGACTTTGAAGCTTTGAGCAAAACCACAGATATTTAGGCAAAACTTGAAATTTTTTAGAATATTCTTTAACTATTTAAGAATCTATAGCTGAAGTAAATAAGAGAAATTTTAGATAAGTAAGTAGTTATCATTAAATAAAAATAATGAATTTTTTTATAAATAAATAATAAAAAATTGTAAAGATATGTTTATAATTAAATATCTATTTAAACCTTTTAACCTTAATTATAAACTAAATAGTATATAAATATGTCAACAGAAACTATTTGCGATTTTAATTCTATTGATTGTAAAGGAATAATTATGCAAATTGCCAATTATACACAAATTCAATGTTAACATCTTTTTAAATGTTAATTGTAAAAAGTTGCTTCATGTGAATGTTACCCAATAATGATTGGATTTTAATAAAAATTAATATTATATATCCCTAAAATAACATAAATTTAAGTATAAAATTTTAATACATATTATTATTGTAAATTTTACTTAATTTTGACACCTTTTTATTTAATTGCTAATGTTACTTCTAGTAAATGTTGTCCAATAATGATTCAAATTCGATAAAAATTTATATTTTATTTAATCATATTAAAATAAAGTTATGTGCAAAATTTTAGTATATATTATTATGTAGGAATTTTCATTCGAAGCTAATTTACATTTAAAATACATTGTATAACGGCATTCAGACTCGCAAATAATTTTAAAAAAAATTTAATAATCAAAAAATAATAATTTTTTTGCGTGTTATCTTCCGTGTTTAAAAATTTTATTTAAAATATAGATTTTATTGAATATAAATATAATATAAAAATTTTTTCTCTTTTGGTAAATAATAAATATTCTGGCCTCGTAAGTTCGTTCAATTAAAAATTTCTTTGCGTATTCGTTTTTAAAGGAAAAGAATTTTTTAAAAAAAGTAATTCGGAGACTGCAACAAAAAGCTGGCACCCACAGGCTTACGAAGTGTAAGCGTCTATGCTCCTTCCCTCGCACAGTATTATGTCGCTCTGGATAAACCCAACCTACCATGAGACTGGCAGAAAACTGGGTATCCACGGGCTTACCAAAGATAAGCCCACCCATGTGTAATATCATGAGGCCCCAAATCAAAAAAAAACAACAAAACAACAAAAAAAGAAGCAAATAAAGAGATGACTTACCTTTAACGTTCTTACCCAACCCACCCGCCAAATATAACAAACAAAAAAAGCGAATAAGTAAATAACATAACTTCTTACCTTAGCGTTCTTAACCTAATTCACACGTAAAAAGAAATTTTATTATTCAATAAGTTCCATATTTCTTTTCGAAAGAAGAAAGTTTCAGTATTATAAAGTCTTGAGAAAGTTTGATTAAGTGTTAAACTTTATGGTATTAAAGACAAAATCGACACGCAATACTGATTTGGACGTTTCACAAGAAATCTTGCTTATATACAGTATATCCTTAAGTTTTTCCTGTTCGAAATCAAAGATTAAGATGCTTATTTGTTATTAAATTTTACCAAGACATTATTTACTTGTGGGACGCTTTGCAATAGAAAGGGGAGTTGTAAAAAATTTTTTTTGCATTACAGTATTGTGTATTTTATTTTTGATTTATTTCGATTTTACATAATTTGGCCAAAATTATTATTTAAGGTTGTAATTTTGGCCAGAATTAAAAATATTATCGAAACCAATAAATTTTTTAATTATTTGCGATTAAAATAAACTATTAAACAAATCTTGACTCAAATTTTTCTCTATCTTCATTCAAAATATTATTATAAACAGAAAAACTGCGTTCTACACTACAAGAAGAAAGTGGCATCCAAATATAATCTACTTAATAGATGTTTATGCGAAACTTTTTGCCAAATTTGAATATCCAATTCAAAATTACAATATATAGTTCATTCCTGAATTTTTTTTGTTATATTGAGACATTACACGAAACAAATAATAATCAAATGCTTTTCTTAATGAGGATTTATATTGAAAAAAAGGATATTGTTGTTGATTTCAGTTTCAAATCACATTTTGTCCGCTCCGTTTGCAAATAAATAAAAATTATGAAAAAAATAATTGATATTAATTAATAATTTAATTAACAATTATTTTATAATTCATTATTTTTCTTAAATTAAATTTCTACAAAATTTTCTAAACTTAAAAATCATATATCCAGCATAATATAATCTCTGTCGTTTCCTCCTTTAAAAATGAGATTTGATTTCTCCATATTTATACAAATCATGCAACTCATAAGCCATTCTTGAAAAGGTGCTATCTATTGTCCCGATAAAAACACCACCGTAAGATACTGTAAGCAAATCAATTAAAGGTATGTAAAAATTAAGTAGGTCAATGTTCGGATCAAAATCACTTGAAGTTTTACCAATATCTTCTAAATCGGTTTTAAAATCAAATAAAGTGAAGATACATAGATATTTATCATATAGGAGTTTAAGTTCTTTGAAGGGATTTTTCGAATCCGTTGCAATGTAAATTACTGGTAAATTATGAGCCAAGCACTCCTGTAGACTATAAGCAAAGTATTCCTCCTCCTTTTTGCTTTTATTTAGGTAACTAGTATCTAAATATGGAATCGTGTTGTTTTTAAGGAATTTTTTTAATTCATCATTGATGAATTTTAAATTTTCTTTTTCTTGAAATCGAAATTTTGCTTCACCAACTCTGACATGTAAACCAAAGTAAGACCCTTTTCCACCTAACTTTTGCATGACTTCGTTACTTGTATTCAATAATTTTGGATTATTAACCATAAAGGTATTATGAATTATATTATAAAAATGAATATTCTTTGGTTGTTCCAATACAATCTTATAATGACTAAATAATGAATAGAAATGTAATAATTTTTCGTCGATTTTTAATAAGTCTGACGTAAAAAATTTCTTCTTAAATCGATCCAGACCCTCCTCGGAATGATCATTATCGAAAAATCTAAACTTATAATGTTTACTTTCAACGATGAAAAATGTCTCACTTTTCGATGTGGAAAATTGTTCTAGTAATGTATCAAAGTTGAAATCATACCCGCGATGTACCAATTTGATATACTTTTTTATCTCGGAGAAATCTAATAAATGCTCCCAATTTAACATAGTTAATTTATCATATTTCGAATACTTTTGGCTGCAAAGGTCATCATCAACATCTGATGATTCGTTTTCGGCCGAAACGTTCGTGCAATGATTCATTCGATACTTTTTAATTGTAACGGTTTTATTTAATGAATCGTATAAAATATCAGATGGTTGATAAGGGATGGTGTGATAAATTAATATAGGTGGGAGGATTAAAGTACGATTCGTGATATATGATAACATCATTGCATTCATGAGAGATCCATGTTGATTATGAAACCCACTATGAGGCAAATATGTTAAGAATTTCTCATCATAAGTTGGTGAATCAAGGGAAGGCTTTGTCGTTGGTTCGGTTGATGTTTCGGATGTTGTGGAAGATTGTAAAGATGCCGTAAATATAAATTCGGCCGAGAGAGTGTAAAATGCTATTAACAATGTTAAAATTATTATTGGAAATAATGACTTGAATAAAAATCGATTTCTCGATTGTAATCGATCATATGAATCTATTTTTTCATGGAACATTTTTTTTTTTTATTTTTTTAAAAAAAAAGAAAAGAGGGAAAAAAGGATGTTAATTTTCTCAAGCAAGTTCGGCTTTTACTGGTTTGAGTTAGAAGCAAGCTAAACATTTTTGGCTTCTGAGCATGTAACTCGCTGTTTAAGTCAAGCACTAATAAGTTAAATAGATTACTCAAATAGTTAGTCTTGATTGCTCAAACGATCAGCTTATTATTTAATCTATTAAAACTAAACTATCTTCGATCATCGTGGTGCCTAGGGTTTGAAGGGCTGAAAAATCTGATAAAAGAAGCTATTTTGATCAAACGGTCTTAAATAAACGCGCCTGAAACATGATTGAAACTCAAATTAACAAGAGCTAAACTAGCTTGAAGGAAGCAATTTAACATCCCAAAAGTGATGGTTTTTTTATTGGTAAAGTTTTATATTAATATGGCACAGGCTTAAATCGTGTAACCCAAATATAATAAAAATTATAACCTAAAAATCAAATATTTAAAAAAAGAAATAGAAACTACATATATACAAAGAAATTATTGACTTTATATAAAAGTATTTTTTTTTAGTTACAAGATCGTTTTATTAACCAAATCTTGTTACATTTTTTCTCATACCGCTTTCAATATCTTCACTATTAGATAAATGGTTCCAAATTTTATTTCTCATTTCCACAACAACCTTTGACCTTTTAAGATCCATAGGGTTAGTACAATGATGACTTGGAAGACCGATATAAAAATCAGCTTCGATACAAACTAATTTATCCAAAATATCCCTAACACCGCTATTTTCGAATTCATCCTTTAAAGAATCTTGTAAATGTTTCATAACACCCAAAGAATCCGCAGTTTGATAAGGAATTGTTGTCGCAATCACCTCCATTGTTTTGGTATGAGAAACTGAGATATGGCTCCATTTAGAAGAAGGTTGAAAGAACGGTTCAGAAGAATTTGAAGAAATTATATCTTTTAAATAACGTAAAGGATAATCTGAAGCAAAATATATATTTTCTATTGAACTTTTATCAACCGTTTCTTGTACTTGATTTAAGAGGCTAAGAGCACATTCCGGTAAAACGTATTGTGTTATATGTTGGATGTCCCATTGAATTGCTATATAAGGTCTTAGAGAATTTATAATTTTTGAAGATGAATCCCTGATGTGTTTGGCATAAGGTAAGGGAGGGAATTCATCTATAAATAAAGGTTGTCTTATATCATGTCTGATTAATAACACTTTAGAGTTATCTTGGAAACTATTCACAAGGAATTCTTGCAAAACCTCTCTTCCATCTTCCAATTCCCAAGTATTCCATGAAACCCTTAATTGTTTAAATGGGGTTTTATCATTTAAATTTAATTGAAATTTATCAAGACACCAAGTTTTCCTCAATGAATCGGAATAAGGTGTGACTGGCATGATGGAATTTTGTTCTCCTCCGTTAATTAAATAATAATGAGAGGTTGAAGGTTTATCATATCTATGATAAGACCATTTTTGAAAGTCTTTTTGAGAAATAAATTTTATGTCCGGAAACATCTCCTGTAATTGATCTACATCATAATAAAAATTGAATGGAAAGTGTTGACACGTTGAAATTTTATTTGATCCAACGTTAGTTAATACCATTATACGTCCGAGCGATTCCGCCAGTTTTATGTATGTTATGAATTCAATATTTGTTGTCGATATTTCCATTGTTGGTGGATAATAAGCAAACAAGAATTTGCATTCCGATCCGTAACAAAACTTTCGGTCAAGTTCGTTATCATGTTTACGAATATTTTTTATTTGACTAAATTCATCCTTTTCCACCTCAATACCTTGTCCAGTCGATCCTTTTTTCTTAAAGGATGAATTACGAAGAGTTAAAATGAAAAGGTATTAAGAAAGGAAATAGCAGAACTCGTTTGTACAACTTACTTCGTCGTGAGGACCATGATTGATTTTCACATATTCGGAAGAGAATAAAGTTCTTGGTAGGATTACGAGCATAAAATTTGCGGTGCTACATAAAATTATTAAACTTAATATAACATATAAAATCCGTTTCCTCCAATCCCTAGAGATCGAAATATTTTTTTTCATTATTAAAAAGATATAAGAATAAGTTTCGATATAGAATTATATTTACAAGGATGAAAATAACAATCTTTTCAAGAAGATTGATACTACTTTGAAAAAATTATAGTAAAAAAAAAAAAGAAAATCCATTCTGATTATATCTTTATATAAGATTTAAGATGTACACAAAAAAAAGAATAAATGAATGATTTATGTTCGGTTGCAAATTGAATAACACCAGATATATTACATGCATTGATAATTACAATATATAGTATAAATTGTTTATCACATAACTGGAGGGATAACAACATGCGAGGCAAATCTTCATGTTAAAAAAATCACACCAGAACAAATTTGAAGAATTGGACGCACAAAAGGTTTAAAATTTAATGATTCTCGTAAAAGTGGAAGCGTGTTAAACGATTGATATCACGTAAAAAAAATGTTGCGACATCATACTTTCGATATAAAAGAAGGAAATAAAAGAAATAGTTACAATGCATCTAATTTATTACACAAGAAAGTTCCTGATCGAAAAAAATAAATTTTTTCGTTGCCATTTTAGAGGTTAATTTAATATTCAATAGTTCTTTTGCATTTTTGAACAAAATATTTACTGAATATAATAATAAAGTTTGCCGAAATCATTAATTTGTACAAAAAAAATAAATCATAGTTCAATGATCGTGATTCTTCATTTCAGGTGTACTTAATAATGTTACAATTGAATGAAGGTCATTATTGTAAGGTAATTTTTCTATACGAATGTTTTCATTTGACAATAAATGTACTATCGAATTTTATTTTATCTCTTTCGCTTATGTAATTCCTATTTATATATGCTATTATTTTAAATTTTGTTTAGAAATATATTTATTGTATTTGGAATTTGTCTTTCTTAAGACTAAAATAATTGTTAGGTGTAGCGCCTTTTACAGGCAATTTTGTAAATTAATTACCGATTTTAGAATTCCTATCCAAAATGATATAATCATATGTTTAATAAACAATTTTGAAGTGTTAGTTTAATTTAATAGTGTAAAAAGAAAATTCGAAAAAGGCAAAGTGCCTGATAAGTCCACAAATGTGCATGTGATGAGATTTTGCTCTTATTAGTTTGTTAACTCTTATTTTTGGGGGGGGAATTTACAATAGAAACACACCTAACTTTTAGTCTGAGTAAATCGGTATGCCTTTATACTAAAAAATTTTTAATTTTAAAATAAATTATATTATTAATTACTATATATAAAAAAAGAACACTTGTTTCTTTGATAGAATATCAAATGTATTTTATATTTATTTTTAATAAAAAAAAAATATTGTGAAAGATTTATAAGTTTAAAAGCAAATTACCTGTTTTTCAAGTAAGATCTACTAAAAGAGTTTTTAAGTTGATAAATTAATAGTCGTGAACTCAATGAATAATCATATAAAAAAATCTTAAAAAAGTATAATAAAGTTAAAATATATTGCGTATAATAAGTTCAATCATAAGTTCATATTACAAATACTTTTTTACTAAAATTTTTAACAAAAGTTTAGCATAAAGTTTAGTTTATAACTAAAACTAGTTTAGTTTATTAAATTTAAAATATATTATATTAATTACTATATATAAAAATATTTTTTCAACTTTTCATGGTTTAAATCTATTTTTTATCAAAAATGCCTGCTATCAAAAATATTGTAAATCATTTAAACATTGTATTTGAAAATTAAATAAGGTAGAAGAAAAATTGAAGAGATTAAATGGAGTAAAGAGGTTGTTAAGAAAGTTGAATAGTAAAAATAAAATGTGAAAAAGATATAGAAGAAAAGAAAAAGTTGAAGGATGATAAAACTAACTTAGAAGATGAAAAAGATGACTTGATGACTTGGAGAAGGAAAAAAAGAGTTGAAGAAAGATAAAAACTATTGGAAGTAAAGATGATACTGCAATTACTAAAAAATATCACAATTATTTTACAACTTATGTTACAATTAAATTTATTAATGTTACAATTAAGTTGAAATTAAGTTGCAACTTAAATGAAATTTAAAATAATTATGGAACCATATTTAATTGAAAGAAATAGTTGATAAAAATGTCAGTTGCATTAGTAAAATTTAATAAAGAAAAATACTATATAAAAAATATATAAAAAAATTCATTAACAAAAAGTCCCATTTATTTTATTTAATATAGGATTTTCAATTTTTTATACATAATAGTAAGTTTTATTATAAAAATTCATTATATTCAATTATTTTATTTAATAAAATTTGGGATTACTCATAAAATTCACAATAACAAAAAATTTGAAATATAGAAATTCATTATATTAAAGTTTAACTTTAAATTGCTGCCTGATGATCAATATTATCAATATTATATTAAAATTTATATAAATTGAGAATCTAACATGATAAATATAAAGAATCTAATATAATAATCAAATTGTTTTTAATATTTACATTTTATATTTTAATTTAAAAAAAATACCATATATTTTCTTTTTAAGCTCTTCACTTTTTTTAAAACATTTTAAATATTATAATACTAAGGTAATATTATGCCTTTTTTAATTTTTCCTTCTCTAAATACTTCTTCTTTAAATATTTCTCATTTTAATCTTTAAAAAATAACAAATATTTATAAGAAATATTTTGCTGGATATAGGTGCATTTTATTGAAGACTTTAATAATAATAATAAATCAATTATAGTTGTTAAGTAATAAAATAAGATAAAACAAAATTTAATATAAAACTTAAACATAATATTTTGATAGATAATAGAAGTAACTATTATAGTCTACTTATAAAATAACTAAAGAATAAGAGCAATCAAAGGTATAATATTTAAATTAGTAAAAATCTTTTTTTTTTGTTTGTTATTTTTTTTATTAAAAATTATATATATAGTAAATAACAAATACTAAACATAATAAGAAAATATCTAGAAAAGCAATAAACTAAACTTTAATAATTTTTAACTAATTGGATTATTAATAACCCCTTCAAAGAGATTACTTTCAGTTGTAATTAATATTTTGACTATTAAGAGATTTAAAATTAAACCGAATTATTTGATTTATTATATTTTTAAAAAGAAATAGCCATAATTTTATTAATATTTATCCTCTGTATTACAATTAAAATTAGTGAATATAAAAACTACTATAAATCAAATATTTTGATTTATAATCATAATTTAATTAATAAATAATTATAATACAGGTATTATAGTTTATATAGTATAATAAATGAATATATTACATAATAAGAATAATAAAAATAACAAGAAGATGTATATATGTTTTTTTTTTAATATATATACATATTTGAATAATTAAAAAACTATATAAAGAAAGCGAGATCAAAAGATGAATTAGAAGATAAAATAATTGTTTTTTTAAAAGAACAAAATTTTACAATATAAAATTTTAAGATTCAATTAGATATAAATCAATTTTACTTAAAAATTTTTTGTTAAAAAAATTTATCAAATTTAATTTCAATATTATAATTGTATATAATTTATAAAAAATAAATAAATTTTATGATAAAATAAACTTATATAAAACCTATAAAACCTATTAAACTATCATATAAGATACTATTAATTATTTGTAAAATTAATAGCTTTATTTAAATGTTATCTGATTTTTTGAAAGAAATTTTTATTAAATAAGACCTTTACAATAGAAAAAATACTGCTAGAAAAATTCAATTTTACTTTTATATGTCAAATATGATTTTAGGTTCAAATATATTCAAATTTAGCATTAACTAATTTTTATTTTTCTAGTAATTTTCCTTCTTTTTATTGTAAAGACCTCAGATAATCAAATATAAAATTCTTAAAAGTAATAAATTTTTTATTAGATACTAACCAGATATAAATACTAGTTTAAGTAATTTTTGAAAAATACAAATAAGTCCAATTTTTAAAAAATGATTTTAAAATCAAGTAATTGAAAAGATAGATCATGATATTTTAAAATTATATCTGATAATATATCTTTTTAATATCAAGGAAATAACTCTTTACATTTTTTTTCTGTTTTGATAAAGCATAATAATTACTTTCTAACAAAAATGATAATATATTATTATTACCTTTCATAATTGTTTGTTATTCAATAAAAAATATTGGATGAATCAAATATAGGTTCTTTTATATCATACTTGATACTAGGGTTCCGCAATTCAATTTGATATTTGAATATTTGATTTGATCAAATTCAAATCAAAGAATGATTATTTGATCAAATTCAAATCAATGTTTGATTTGATTCGATTTTGAGGAACCCTACTTGATACAATAGAACAGTTAACTAATTTTTACTTTCAACTAAAAAGTCTTTTTTATAGAATTAGAAATGAAAATATCACGTTACTTTTATCATTTATCAATATTATGATATTTAATGCACTTGATTAAAAATAAAAATAAAAATAGAGTTATAATTAATTTTAAAATTTTAACTAATTACAACTATTTATGAATTTTTATATTAAAATAAATTTTACAAGGAGTTGCAACTTACTAAGTAATAATTTCTTAATTATAATATTATCTTTAGTTAAAAGAACATGAAATCATTATTTACTTTTTAGTAGACCACTATTAGAGTTTAATATTTTTAAAAAAAAAAATATTAGAAAAGTAGTAAAATTTGTAAAATACAAGAATATCAATTATCTGATTAGACAAAACTAATAGTCTGTATATTTAATAGGTTTGTTATTTTTTGGATATATTAAGTTACTTGGTTTCTTTAGATATTTTAATTCAATTACAACTTACCTATTTATTAGTAAGCAGTTATATAGATACTTATATTAAAAAATAAAGAAAATATTATAACTTTTTATTTTTCAAAATCTATTATTTTTAAAATTGTTTTGCAAATTATTAAAATTAAAATAAATAGAACATTT